TTTTGACCTTGTGATTTCACTTCTAAGAATTATGTAAAAAAAATTCTTATAGATATGGAGAGCAATGTTCAAAGACTTTTATTTACAATAATACAGAATGGAAAGATTCTCCTCCCAAATGGAAAAAGTCAAATGAATTTTGGCACATCCATATTGTAAATTATTTTTTACTTGTATTTTTAGAGTACTTTAATATAGGAAAGATTGTCAAGTATAAGTTGAAGGAAATTTAGATAGTCTAAATACATACATTTCATAGTATAAATGATTATGATTACTAGGAAGCATATTGAATATTAATAACTGGCATCTCTTCTAGACAGGATACTTAGAAACATATAATTTTTTGCACATAATGAGAATGAGACAGTTTTTTTTTATCAAGATATTTTTTTTATTAAAAAGTTTATTTTTACATCATTTTGCACATTTTTTTTCCATCTCAATTGTAATCCCCGCGGGTTTCCCATCACCAAATCACCCCTGTGCCACCACCATCGTCCCGTGCATTTCCCTCCCTTCTCCCCTCCCCCGTTTTGAGAATGAGACAGTTTTTAAGAATTTATTATTATTATTTTTTAATGCATACAGAACTGGGGTACAGGCCAGAGGTGTAGGGGTGGTGAAAGGATTCACCAGAGACAGAGTGGGGAGCAGAACAGGCAGACTGATCGAGTACACTGCTGAGGAGAGCAGCGAGTGGGTCAGGAGAGGTCTGCCAGAGGTCTGCCACGCCATGTGGATCACCGCTGGGGCAGGCGCAGGGAGCAAACTCCTGCGGAAGTGGCTTTAGCTTCTTAGTGCTGTGCTTTAAACCACCGTGCCACCAGGGAGGGCCGAGAATGAGACAATTTTTTTAAAAAATTAAAAATTAAAAAACTATGGGATTGAAAAAAAAAACTATGGGATTGTTTGAAATGTCTAATATTCTTTCTATTTTATGGATTTTTAGAAAGTTATTTGAATTCTTTTTTCATGATCATTCATGAGATATGTATTTTGTGTGAAATATTATAAATATATTTTTTGGAAATTTTTTGTACTGTATTTGTTTTCTAGATTGCATTTCTTGCATATCAAATTTTGTCTGTTTTATGCCAAGGAAAACCTTACAATTCACTTTTATTTTAATGTCATGTGAAATTCACAGTCAGAAACCCTGGAGTCTTTTACCTTAACATGACATTTATCAAGAAATTTTTTTTTACAAGAAGAAAAGCACTGAGACTAGAGGATGATACAGCATAGACATTTTAAATAGTATGAACAGGACACTCCTATAAGGCAATTTTTAAACAACTGCCTTATTAAATCAAACTATATAATAAGCAGTATTTAAAAAAATACTTTATGATGTAGCTTTCCGTAGCTTTATAAAGATGTCTCTACCATTTTACTGTAGAAAGTAAGTACTTGAAGGGTAAATTTGGTTATTTGTGTCCATGAAGATGCTGATGAGATAGAATGTGATTTATCAGAATTTATTTTCTGCATCAGCCTTTCATTAGGCGTTTCCATCAACAAACTTCAAGGTGCCTCCTGTGGTAAGCCCTAGACTTGATGCTCTAGATGAGCATTATCTATCACTCCCTAAAGCTTCAAGTCCTGGGGAGAAAATAGTTGGCAACCAAAAAATAAATAAGTACAAATCATGCTTGAAAATTAAGGTCAAAAACTCCAAATGAGTAGATCTTTTTCTTTTTCCTTTAAGTTCTAATTGATATTCAGACAGTTATATCAGTGCAACAGAATGTAGAATCATTTTAATACTACCGGGTTTGTCTGTTGAAAACAGTGGAAACAACTTTCGTGCCATACTTTACAAAGTTAAGCAAAGTTTTAAAGGTAAATCCTCTCAAATTTAGCATCCACTTTAATTTAGCACAAATAAATGAATGAGGAAATCAAAGGCCATAACTGAAAACTCTTTGGACTAATCAACCATTTTGAATATCCACTAATAAGATAATTCATTTAGTACTAAAACATTTTATTAATTGGATAAAACCTAAGACTATAACCTATTTTATCCTCAAACATTTGCACAAAATGTTTCATCATTTAATATCAGGCCTTTCTCCATATTCTCAGTCTTCATTTGTTCCTGTCAAATACAGTTGATATTAAAACCATCTAAAAGGATATGGTTCACAGTTCCATGGATATAATTATTATGACTTGTGTCTTCCATTCTTAACCAGTAGAAATTATATGTTGCTGAGAATGATTGATTGATCACTGCCTTTGTACTTCATTTTGCCATTATTCATTATTTTCTTTGTCAAACAGACCTACACTCTTCCTCACATAATCACCCAATCTTGTCTCTCAGTAAGCAAAGTAGCTTATGGCTCCCAACACCCCACTATGGAAACATATAATGATAGTCCCATGTAAAAATGGCTACTGAGAAACTATATAGGAATGGAAGTTTTTAGAAATATATTTGGAGAGCCTACTGATTACATTCTCTAAAACTCTTTAGGGGCTTGTATTGCCGACTTGATGAAATGTATTTTAGAATTTCTGTTGTTTTGTTACTGAAATCTGTTACTTCTCAAAAATGTAGTTAAGAAAATTCTTTATGTGCTCTTTCTCCATGTATTTAATTTTACTTTACTTTGTTGCTAATTAATTTGGAGGTTGCATATATTAAGTATTGGTTAATCTATCATTAATAGGTATTTTTTCAGTTTTTCTTTTGTATAAGTATAATATAGAACATATTATGACATTTAGTATGTTTTCAAGTTAGTGATAAGCATATCTGTATGAAAGTAGATTTTGCATTAGAGCTTGTAAAAAGAAAAAAAAAGAATAACACAGCCAAGGTATGGATTGTTTTATAAAAAATGAATTTATTTAATTTTGATCATTTTTATTCAGATGCCTTGTATGGAGATACAGCAAATGTTTCTAGAATTTATTATTTTAATCCGAACCTTTAAGTTAATGCATTATTGAAGATTAACTGAGATGTCACTTTTTGACATAACTTATTTCTAAGCATTTCTTTGTGGTTGATTAAATGATATAATAATAAAACCTTTTTAAAAAGTGTACCTTTTACCTCTCACTTGTATAATTTGTGGATAACTTCTCAGAAAGCAAAAAATCTGACATGGAATCTGATTGCTCCAGAATCTTTTGGTAGCTTGTCCAAGATTTCCCAGCTAGTAAATGTGGAAGCAGGAGTTCACAATATGTAACCCTAATATTGCTCATGTTTCTGATGCATAACATTAAAAGAGAGTTTTGGGTTGATTCATTGGCTGGTTGATTGTTCTTTATCAGTGTCTTTTCACTATTCATGAATTCCTTCAAAGAAACTATTTAAGCAATGTTTGTATAGTTAATAAATCATTCAATCTGATGCTTAAAGTCATATACACTTAGAAAAAAATCTAAAGCTACAAGGGTAGTTTCTTTTTTTTTTAAGGACATATATTAAAGGATCTCAGGTATGTAAGAAAATTGAAGAATATTTTGTTGATTTTAGGTGAACTTTAGGAATAAAATGATTTTATTTTGTATCTTCTTTTCAAGTGGTTATTGGTTCTTAAGCCAACAGCATAAATTTTGGTATCCGTAGCCTAAAAATCAATCCTATCTGAACATTTCTTTCTTTTTACATTTTCAGTACAAATAACTGTACTCCATGTATTGAAAGATTGACCTCAATCTTGATATCTTTACCATGTAATGCCTTACTGTTTTAATTTCCTGCTTGTTGTCTATTAAGTTTCTTCCCACATAAACCTATTTTCCATTCCATCCTTTCTCAGGCCATTGTTTTCCATGGTGTCTGCAGACCTAGTCCAACTAAATTACAATTATCTAAATGGTATTTTCTATCATTTTTATGACATGTTCCTTACATATTTTTTTATCTGACTTTCAATGTAGTATTTATTCATATAAAAGATTTGTCTACCTTTAACTTTTGTGTTTGCAACAAAATATATGTAGTGTTTACTTCAAAGACATACCAGCAAATGCACTTCCCATATACTTAAACACTTCTGGTTGGGAAGTTTCTCATGTAAGTGTTTTCTACTATATAAGTATAATTTCATGTAAGGATTTTATATAGTTTATATGAGTTTATATATGTGTGTGTATATATATATGTATGTATATATATAAAATATAAGTTGCTATATAAGTTTTTCACATAAGAATATAAATTAATAATTTTGAAACATGTGCACTTAAAATGTGTATCTGAAAAGTAAAACAAAACACATGATTCCAAATGTAAATGTGAACTCAAAAGAGAAGACAGGTAATGAATGTTTAATATGATGCAATCACTAGAATTTCAGCATTTCCACATTAAGAGGACAGTTTAATGAATACTATAATGAATACTATTATGAAGAAAATATGCTATTTTGAATATTCATATTTTATGTGTTAAGTTTATCTATTTTTATTTTTAAGGTCCTTAAAAATGCAACTCAAAATGTAATAATCATACTATCAACTATCAGGTCTTTGTTGCTATGAGAATCACTCTTCTATAATGAATGTGTTGTAGTCATGATACTATGGCTTGTTTAGTATTTTAAAATAGGAACAGCTTTGTTCATTTGGGTCACAGCTGTGACATCTCTTTATATGTTTACCAAATGGTTACTGAATAACACATGCCTAAGAAAATGAAACTTTTGTAAAAGCGTGTTAATATTTGCAGCCCTCATCTGAACTCAGAGCTCACAAATGGGCTTTTTGCAAAGCAACCTAAATTCTTGGCAATGTATGATAAATGTCAGCCAAATTTTTTTTTTAGCCATCTGCAAATAAAAGTATATTAGACAATGATGAAAACATAACAGTGAGTGTTGTATAATTCACTCACCTGTGCATAGTTCCTTTTATAAACATGTCACAGTATTTACACTAAAGTAAATAAGAAATTTTAAGAGTATATTTAATATGATGTACTAGTATAGATAAAGATCAAATGGGTTACACTGACTATTGGTTGTCTTTTACAGAGACTCACCTTGAGACATGTTAACAGTAACCAATGTCTCGATGAACCATCTGAAGAAGACAAAATGGTGCCTACCATGCAGGACTGTAGTGGAAGCAGATCCCAACAATGGCTGCTAAGGAACATGACCTTGGGGGCATGAACACCATTTCCCCCAAATAATGAAAATGTCTACACTTTTGTTTTTCCATTATTTCAATTAGAGGGAAGATATTAACTTTGCTGAATTGAAGTTTTAAAATCCTTTTAGTATTCTAAACCACAGTTGTTTATAATTCATTTTTAGGAATGTTTGCTTATATCCCTACTAAAATTTGTATATGATCAAAGAAGCACATAAAGAATATAAATAACAGCAAACTGTTATTAAACATTAGAACAACTTGAAAAGCTAATTGGATGTTTACTTTAAAAAAATATATTTCCTTCACCAGATTAGTTGAGGGTTTTATTTGAAAGTTTTTCTTGTCTTGGAGAAAGGAAGGGGGACAATGTAAATGCCTTATAAAATATCATCATTATGAAATAATACCAACTATTTTGTAAACTCACTCTGTTTCTACTGGACCTTTGTGGAAACTGTTGAATTTCTGTGTCAGCAACAAGGCCACAGATTATTTCAGAGCAATTAATTCATCTTACAAATTGAGTTTCAAGTTTTGTACCAGAAAGAAATTAAATTTGATACTGACTTCTCATATAGTCCCTATAAAAGCATCACATTTAAGCAAAAAATAAAAAGAGAGAGAATTTGAAAATTCATTTTAAATTACATGAAATAAGAAACGAGGTAGACATTGACTAGAACAAGATGAAGCTAAGCATCAAAATTTAATCACTTTAAAAGATAGTCTGTTTGGGTTTCGATTACTCCTAAAAATACTGAGCATTAACAATCTTGGTCTCAGCATGACGTGTGAAATTCATCCTTGACCACTGTTTTGTCTCACATGAAGTGTACAGTTCCTTTATCTTCATTCTAGAAACTGATTTGTCATTTATGCTCTGGAGAACTATGGGTAAGAGGTAACTTCTTATGTTTTGTATTTAAATATTTTAGTTAGGTCACTATATCATTTTTTAAGTTTATCTTTTGAAAATACTGCATAAAACTGTCAGAATTTTGTTAAATGCTATGCGACAGCAATTTAAGCTTTAATTTCATTTAAAGAAATGAATTCAGTACACATTTCTTTCTCCTACCCCCACTCTCTCTCACTATTTGTCTCTCTCTCTCTCTCTCTCTCTCACACACACACACACACACACACACACACACACACACACACACACACACACTTCTTTAAAATGAAAAGGAAAGCATGAATTGCCCCAGTAAAATCTTGTATGATTTCCCAGTTATCATTCCTTCCTCTCTGGACTTTTCTACTGGCACAGCTGTAAGGAATACTTCAACAACCTGGAGCACTATGGGTTACTCCTTAAGATGTAGCCACTCCACACCTGCAGGAACCCCAGTATCACTTAAAATTTTAAGTGAAAGTTTGAATGTCAGAACATTTTTAGCTATGGAGTAAATCCAAAGCTTCCAGCAAACTTCAAATGAAACTGTGCCTCCCAAGAGCCAGGAACCACTGCCTAATTTAATAGAGGCCTCTAGAGTCAACAGATGGCCTGAATGAACAATCACATTTTCCATTTTCATTCCCTTGTCTCCCCTCCTTTCCTATTGTCCTGATTAAAACATGGTAAAATATCCCTATACAGCATTCTTCCTCCTTAAACCTAAAAAGCATAAATTCTCAAGGACTCTTATATAATCTATTCTGCTTATTATGGATCTGTCAATCAAAGTGCATGCTGTCTAGAAAATGGTGACTTTTTCAAAATACAGCTATTCCATCAAGTTGAACTTCACACATTTCAGCAGCATTCTAAATAGGTGAAAGTTCATATGGATTCTAACAAAATTATAGGAAAAATGAATACTGTATGTATTTTGTGCCACAGAATATTTTTCAAAGAACTCTCAGATGGTTTGAACACATGCTGTTAGAATGTCTAACAAATGAAAAAATGACATAAAACATTGTAAAACACCAACTCTCAGAAAACAATCACTAACATTCCTTTTTTAATCAAAAATACTTGTTGTACTCAGTACAAAAAAATAAAATAAAATCACGATTGCATACACAACACACTCAATTTTACATTCCTTATCAATGGAACTAGATTAAGATATATTTAAATGACTTCAAACTTCTCTTTCTGAAGTTTTCACATTGGAGTTAATGCCAACACCAACCTTCCAGATGCTGATAGTAGAAACTTAAATTTTTACTAACACTTCATCTCTCCTTTGTCGTCTAACCCATCAGTACTTCCCCTTCCATATTTGAAATGTAACCAGAAACCAATAACTTAACCTCCACACCCACTATGTGTTCACTACATTTTTTTTATTACAAAGTGCTTATATTTTTTTCCCTGATTTCCTAATCCTCCCCCAACAGCCTTTCCACAATACAACAGCCATAGTTGAAAATAAATTTTGTATCAAATGTCTGATCACAATCTTCCAATGAAGTGCATTTCTCGCCAAACTGCTTACACCGGTCTTCAAAGTATTTCCTCTATTTGTGTGCATATCTGCACATGTGCACACATTTCTAACTCAACTCTCCATCGATCCTGCCCCACACTTTCTCCCTCTTGCTGCCAAGCAATCTTGTGCCTCAATGATTTGTTTCCCCTCCCCCACAGAGCTTTCTCACTCTTTCCATAAGCCTCTAATCAAAAAGTTAATCAAAGGGAAAGCAAATCTTTGTTTTTATGCCCTCTGTATCACCTGTATAGACCTACACACTATAATTCACGTTTTCATATTCTGTCTAAACTTCCACCTTCCCACTACTAACAATCTCATCATGCACTCTAGAATGTAAGCCCCATAAAGTCCAGGATTTGATTAGTTCTGTTCACTGTGTTATCCCCAATTCTTGGCATATAAGTATTCTTTAAATATTTCTTGAAGTAATAAACTGAAAAATGTGTGTTAAAGTTGCTAAGTGCTACTGTATATATCTTTATTTGCATAGTATTTTAAATTAAAAAATAAAGTCTAGTAATATATTTAGATAGGGATTGCATAACTTTGTCTCCAAATGACGTTTTCCTCCTAATATTCTTCACATTAAATTATTGACCATATTTTGCTCTTTATGAAAAAAATATCCTGCCGTATGGACATGAAATATGACATTTTATAAACATGCTGCTATATTATATAAGTTGCTTCAATAAGATAAAAATGATTTTCATTTTTATATTTTTGGTTGTGCGCAACAGCCACTTAAAAATGTGAGATTTTTACTTTTAGAAAAGAGACATACATTATTCTCTCTGGAATCATGTATTTTTGTGGTTTCATAGGAGTGATTACTAAATTTATTTTTGATGTTCAAGTCAATGAACAAAACACAGTTGTAGGGGTTTTAAAGGACTTTACAGATGAACTATTGTGTTTTTATAGATAATAAAATTAAGACCCAGATATGAAATGTGGCTTGTCCAAGGGTCATCTAGCTAGAGACACTGTTACCAGACTCATCATTGTTACTATAACCTAATACAAAAGATACAAAAATCAGAGAGAAAAGTAAATACAATCATAAAACAAGAAGAGAGATTTTGCCTTTTGTTCGTAGGGAGGGGTTAAGAGCTTACTTCAGTAAACCTACAATATTGATTTCCTCCTACATGATTTTTACCCAGTTGAAAAATGATCTGATCAGAACTATATCATTCATCTCTCACTTATATGATATCTCATATCTTACTTATAAATGGTAAATCTGATTTCAGAGGAGGTAAAAAGTATATACATTCCTTTAATTACAAAGAATTCTAAGGTAACAATAGAAAGCATCTAAGAAATTCAAGATCTTAATAGATAAGTCATCATCCACAGGCTCTCTTAGTAACTGATATCTGTAGATTTTGAAAAAAATTCTAATTTAGTTGGACAGCAGAAACTCAATTATTTCTCTAAGGCAGATTTTGTTTCAGGATTCAGTCATTACTTGCCCCCCCATCCCCATTTATCCATATGTCAAAGTAAGGAATTGATCAAATCAGCCACTTTTCTGTACAACACAGGAGCACATCTGGTGTGACTTCACCATGTTCAAACTGCTATTAAAGACAAGCTATTGTACAAAGCTAAGGTGTTGAATGAACACCAGCAATGTGATTTAATAGTTTGTATAAATTTGTGTCCAGCTTTTGTTTTATTGGTCAATAAATTCTAACGGCAATTTTTATTGTTATTTGTTTAAAAAAAAACTCTGAAATACTAGTGATGCAAGGCAGCTCTTTTGTTTACTACCTTTTAAGATAAAGACCACTTCTATAATACTTATATCATCATTATGTAAAGTTATTATTATTATTATTTTTATCTAGGGAGAAAAAAGCAGCCTATTCTGTTTTAATGAGTTAGTATGAAAATGGGAAATTGATGATTAAAGCTATACATAAAGATTTAAGAAATGAGACTTCATCGTGCATTTAATTTGGTGTAAAAATAGCATAAGCTACTGCTTGGTTTCAGTTGTATTTTTGGCTAAAAATAGCACAAGTGAAAAAAGGACATGATTATATGATTTTTTGGCGCTTTTGCTTTTTTGGTCAGCATAGCCACAGCTAAAGAGAAATAATTTAAGAAATGTTTTAGATATATGCTTGGCACACATTTATTTAACATTTATAAAAAACGGATTGTGCATAAAGAATCACACATTTTAAATGTTGTAAGCATTACTAAATGTTATAATTGTTCTTTTACTATAAATTTAAATATTTATACCTTTTTTGTAGAATTAAAATATACCAATTTAGTTATCCTTTGGTATATGTTGTATTTTTTAAAAATTTGTTGGCATTTCCAATAGTCAGTCAATTTCAGTATTTTATGCTTATGTTCCATTTTATAGGTTATTTAAATAAATGATTAAGTGCCTATGGATATTTCTTGGCAGCAAGATAATATTGTGACCCCAGTGAAATTTTGATACCAAAAACATGTAGAAACATTAAAGTGTGCATGATTTTAAAGAATTTATCATTTTATTTTTATTCTAAGACAATTTGAAATTGTTATTTTGTTTTATAAAAACGAAATAGAAAAGGTAAAATTTTTCCTATTATATGATGAAAATTATGTTTCAAACATTATGAGTAATACCCCAGTCCTTGACTCTGGTGCTAAATCCTGAAAAATAGCTCAACAGTGAAAGAAGTGAAGATGGAGGAGGCGGCAATCCCATGATGCACTGATGCACTGATGCACTGATGCCCCAATGTTGTCTAACAGTTCTAGCTGCAAACAGAAGTCAAGGAGAAAGTTAGAAAATATATTTTCTGAGTTAAATGAAAGAAGGAAGGAGGAATAAAGGAGGGTCCTAGAAAGGGAGAGGTAAAATTCTAGTGTCTATTCTGTACAATACGGAGCTTTAAAAAATTCTATTATAGTTGCATGATTTAGAAAACCATTAATTTGCAAATAACAGAACTACCTGACTGTTTCTCTAAATTTCTTTCTATAAGTGTCCATAAGAATAAGGGATACTGTCTAGATTTTATGATGACCAGGTCACAAAAGTCCGTTCCTGGCTTCTGTGACCAGGTGGGACTTCATGTCACACCTCCTTCCTTTCTGCTACATTCTTTTCTGTTACTCTTGTTCAGGACAGACTTGTATTTCAGATGCTAACCACCACCTCAGTTTAGCCTCATAAAACATCTCTACCACATCAGGTTCCCATAGATCTATCACACTGTTTTTTTTTTTTTTTTTTTGGTTTTTTGTTTGTTTGTTTGTTTGTTTTTTCTTTTCAGCACCTGGAGGAAACAAAATGTGAATCCTCAAGTCCAATGCTACACTTTCCTGCATCTTTAGCTGAGAAACTATCAGTGGCATCTCTTTTCCAACATGTTTATATTTACCATGTGACACACTATATTAGTTACCCATTGTAAGATCAGAAAAAAAAAAATGGCAGATAGAAAGTTGACTGAATTTCTTCTGACAAATCCTTTCACCAGTAGTTTTGTGAAATGGAAACAAAAAATTAAATTGACAGAAAGAAAACTGTTTTAGCTTTTATTAATGAGACACCTAAACTTGGTTCAGCAAGAAGCTTCCATCTGCTATGTGATAACTAGAGAAGGCAAAGGTTAAGAGATCAACAGTGA